AGACGTGGAGCAGGATGTGAGCCCTTCTTGGTCAAGTGAATTCAGCAATTTCACCAGTACATGTCTCTCTCATTTGGTGGATGCAAAAAAGCGGTCCCCCATAGGAGTTTTTTCTCCATGATTCTTTTGGGAGCTCGAAAGCCGCAAGGCAATCCCTCTCGCATGCTAGGTCTGACGCTAGGTGACTGGTGTTACTTCTGGCCTGGTGCAAGGGCTTTCCTGAAAGGAATCGTTAGCTGGTCGTCGTTGACTCGCGCGATTGAAACGGTGTTGCACAACCAGACGCAACCAGGCTTCGCAAGAACAACACATTGGGGACACTGAGTGCCGTGATGTGCTGTGGAATGTGGAATATCTGTGGAAGTGACCCCCAGGCGTGCAATCAGAGAGCTCCCTGGTCCTGCAGGCACGGGGACATCGCTCCACGGTTTCCTCGGAATTCCGGCAGCAGCTGCAGGCACAGCAAGCCAAAGCAGAAGCCAAAGCTGCACTACCCACGGTCATCTCCAGCATGTTCCTGTGTGTTGGGCATGAAGGACCTCATGGGGCAGATCCGCACAACAACGCCTCACTTTGTCCCCACCTCAGCAAGTCGGACACCACCCGGTGAAGAGTCAGCACGTCAGAGGGTCTGAGTCATGATATGAGTCATTGTATGAGTCTGCGCAATCCTGCGCACTCTCGGCAGGTTCGCTGCATCAAGCCCAATCCGGAGCACCAGCCTCAGATTTTTTTTGAGCAGGTTGAGCTTCGAGAAATCTCAGAGGAGTCACAGGGCTGCCACCCAAGAGCTTGAGAGGAACCGGGCGTTTGTGGATGCTGCTGCTCCTGATCCATGTCCTTTGTTCGACAGGCCTGCAGTATGCTGCGATGTGCGTTTAGAAGGCGTGTGTCAGTGAGTTCTGTGTCAATAATACCCTTTCAGCTGTTGTAGGAGCTCTGTCGCAGAACAGCTTCGATACCAGGGCGTGATCGCCCTACTGGCTGCTCAAGGTAACAAATGGCACCTGTGTGTGGATTCTCGATGGGAGGTACTTGAGGCCATACGTGTAGCCAGAGCAGGCTACCCGGCCCCGACCTCAGCCGAACCACAGAATGTGAGGGAAGTGCCTGTTATGTCCTCAGTGACACCAGTTTTCAAAGAGTGTCGAACTAGTCTGACGGAGATGACGACATATGAAACCCCCCCTCCACTGAGGGTCTCCTAGTGAGAACAGCTCAAGGGCTAGCGAAGTACAGAGGTACGCTACTACCACTTCGACTTCCTGGCGGAGTTTCGCTGCATTGCGAGCAAGAATCTTCAGCTGGACATGGAGGTCCCGGGCTTTGGGCGAGAAAAGCAAGTCCTGTTTTGAAGTCTCATGACTTCTGCAATGGCGCCAGGCAGCAATGCAGAAGCATCGGGATGAGGGCGAAGGCTCCAACAGCTTGGTCCGAGCGCCAGTGTCAGTGCTGCTGGCCCGTGGTAGATTCTGGTAGGGCATGCTATGGGCATGCTCAAGGTCCAGAGCGTCCGGAAGCTGCTCGAGTCCGAGCCGGTTCGATCCGCTTGCGAAAGCCCCGAGGCCCGTGCACCCGTGACGTGTCGCAGTGTTGGTGTCTTCTGTACGTTTGTGGTCGTGCTGAACATTTCTGATTGTTTTGGGGAGGCCGTGGCGGTGGGGCAGAGCCGCATCTTTCTGAAGCAGGCCCGAGGAAGAACGCCTGGCATGTTTTCATACTAGGTAGCGCTTTCAGCAGAGGCTGCCGCGGGGCGGCTGCGGGCCGCCCAGGCGGGGGCCCGCTCGGCGGCCGCGCGGCGCCTGCAGGCGCGGCACCGCGGGGGCATGGCGCGGTCTTTGGCCGCGAAGCGGCTCCGCGCGGTCCTCGTGTTCCAAGCGCACGGGCGTGGCTCTGCGGTGCGGCGGCGGCTGGCAGCCGAGAGGCAGTCTCGTGCAGCCTCCTTGATTGCAGCAGGGCTTTTGACGCTGATGGCCCGACGCCGACTGCACTGTGTGCGATTTGTCTGTGAGACACTGCAAAGCCTGGTGCGGATGAAGGCCTGCAGGAAGGACTTCCTGGAGCTTCGCCAGGCGACATGCAAGATCCAGTCCTGGTGGCGATCTTGGCTCAGACGCCGGAGGATGCGGGAGCTACCAAAGCATCTTCTGAACATCCAGCGATGCTGGCGCGGGGCCATGGGCCGCCGGAAGGCGACCGACTTTCGGGTGGGGCTGTTCCGCCTGAAGTTGGCCTTGCGTCGACTGCTTCGCCTGCGCTGGGCGGCCCTGAAACATCGCAAGTGGCGGCAGGGCATCATGGCCAGCTACCGAGGTACTTCACAGGCCTCTCAGGCCGTGCAGCCTCTGACAAAGGCAGACTTGCTGCAGAAACTCTTTGCGCTCGAGTCGGAGCACGCGTTCCTCGAGCGGCAGGTCGGAATCGTTCGGCAGGACCGCTTCGAGTTGAAGACGAGCCTCGATGAGGCAAAGTCAAGCTCCTTCTTGCGGGTCTTTGGATTAGTTTGAATAAGGCTTCAAAGAGGAGCCAGAAGAGAAGGGTTTCACAAATCGTTTAGCCTGAGCAGATGGCAGTTCCCCAGGATGTGCCACTGACGGGGTGCATTGGAGCGTGTCTGTTTGGGACAAAAAGGGGGAAGTAATGGGAAGCAAAGCTATTACATCAAAGGACATCTCAGACATCACGCATCGCCCAGCCCGATCTATGCCTCAAGCCGCTTCCTGCGACCTCAAGGGGCTCGAGAGCGGTTCGAGAGTGGGCCCCAAAGTGGAGCCCTCTGTGGCCCTGTATGGAGCCAGTGGAATGCTCAGTTTCGCTTCAAGATGCTGAAATCCTGGTCCCATCTTGGCCAATCTATCTTCGAACTAGCCTTTCCCAATGCATGCTCAGGCCGGCTGACCGCAACTGCTTCCCTGCATGTGATGCAGGCACCACCGCGGCGCTCACATGCAGCGATGTGCAATGGTTTCTGCCAGTGCCTGCAAGGTGGAGCACATCCAGCTTGATGCGTTCTTGCGGAAGTTGTCGGTCTCAACCGGGCGTCGCGGGCCCGTGCGTACATGACAAAAAACTCGGTTGAAACCAGTGTAGTGTGCATGACAGAGTGACGCACCGAGGATCTGACGATGAAGAGTCGCAACAGCGGACCGCAGCAGTTGCGCCTGTGCGCGACAGATGTGTAAGATGCGCAGATGAGATGCAGGACATCGCGGGAACTCGCTCATTCGAAATCGGCACCTCAGCGACTTGCTCAACTCGAGCTCTTTCAACTCTACGCTGGCAGTTGTCCTTGGCCCCCCCCCCCAGTGGTATTCGAGTTCTCCACCTTCAAAGGTTGCGGCCCCCCAAACTGCGGCGTGAAGCTTATCAGGGCTTGTGAGGGCTTGCGTCGCTGTGGCCGGTGGCAGCTGTTGCAATGAGCCCCTGTGGGTAGCTCATTGCTCAGGACCGACCCGAAGTTGGAGGAGCTGAGACGGAACATCCGCTGGAAGCACGGTCTTATCCAAGAGTTGCATGCACACACACACACAGACACACACATATATATATATATATATCTTTTTTGTATTTATTCGCTTCTTTATTTATTTGTGTATTTATTTATTTATCTACTTATTTATTTATTTGTTTTTTCATGTGTCAACCGAGTTTGTGAACAGCTTTGTCAGAAAGGTCTGAAAGCAGCTCGCAAGTCAGTTTTGCAAGACCCGAAATGCTCCGGTCTGAGATACGAGAGGCTTGTACCGCATCATGTGGTTGTGGTCAGAGGCTGAAGCGCATGTGCATGAGCCCCACCAAGGCAGACTTATGCTTGGTTTGCCGCCCCTGCCAGACACTGAGCCGTGTGATCGTCTTGTGATGCTGCTTTGGAGGCTTCCCAACCTTTCGTTTTGCAGGTCGTCCGCTCCGAAAAACATCCAGAGTGTGCACAGCTTGCCCACCATGGCTCAGCAGATGTCTTGGCTTGGAATGTTCTTGTGGGATGCCGGTTGCTCGTGGCGTGAGACGTGTCTGTGAGACAGGGCCGCAAAACTGCGGGAGCACCTGGCGAGTTTGCAGGGGCTTTGGCTGCCATTTTGGGCTGAGCTAGGTAGGGTCTGAGAGTCGTGTCGACAGGCTTTAGCCCTTGACAAAGCCGAGTCCAGGACCCCTTGTGCTTCTTGTGCTTCTCCTCGCTTCCCCCCCCCCCCCGGAACACCTTTTTGCAGCATTTGTTGCAATCCTGATTGCAGCTCTGTGCATAGGAAGAAGCCGGAGAAGGAGAGAAAGCCTTCGTCGGGACACGGGCGCCTCAGCCGGAGAATTGTCAGCGGCAACCTACAGTCGCTTCAGTGGCTGGGATAGTTGCAGCACATTCTGACTTGTATTCCTGTGAGCATTGCAACTTGTCGAGGCGCAAGAAGGGCAAGAAGAGGGTTCGACACCTAACTGTGCAGCATGAGCAAAGCGAGTTCCTTGAACACGAGTGTGCTAGCCAGCGGGTTGTGGGCCAACTACTGAGACCGTGACGATGCATTTCCAGGCGCACTGCTCCCCAAACTGCAGGGTCTAGAAGGAAGAGACGGAAGTTGGGGAGCTTTCCCGCTGCCTGACGCTGGCAGGGCCAGGATGATGCCAAGAGCCTTCCAGCAGCAAGCTGGGACAAGGCTGCCGGGTTTGGGTTTTGCCACCCCAGCTCCCAGTGCTACTTGTAGTGTGATGTCTCTGGATTCTGCGGCTGAGTGCAGGTTGGATCCTTGTGTGCTAGTGTGCAGGAGGCACTGGACAGGTCAGCCCACTACTCTGTGACATGACGACTGAGATGGCTTGAGATTGAGATGACAAGCAACAGAAGAAGAAGCAGACTAAACTAAACACCTTGAGTCTCCTGAGTCAAGGGATCCTTGTCCGTTGCAGCCAGGTTCTACTCAGCCAGTGGTTTCATACCAGAGCATGAAATCAAGAGGCATTGGAGTCTTGACTGAGCGAAGTCGGACAAGTGCACGTCTGTCTTTGCGAGGATGCGGATCTGTTTTCAGAGATTCTCCTCGGAGGATAACGACCTGTACCGTGGGCAGGTGCATGAGGCCTCCAACATTGCCAGTGCCTGCCATGCTGACTTGCCTGTGACCAGTCTGCAAGGTGCTGACCCACCTTTGCTACGTGCCTGTTTCCGAGGATAAGGCCGCCGGTCGCGTGCAAGTGTGACACATTAAGCGTCGGAAGCCCTTACGGAATATGGAGAATATGCGGCAAGTCTCAGGCCACGGCCATTGCCAAAGACACCAACGAGCAAAGGTCTAAGTTGGCCGCGGGATCAGTCAGTAGGCCTGTGCGTAGCAGCCATCCGCAGCGATCGACTTTCTGCAGGTTCTCCACTCTTGACTTTCAAGACTTCTGTGACTTCGTTGAGCGGTACACGCAGTATGAACGTGAGGTGCCGATGCTCTGGCAGACGTTCATAGGAAGTGCGTGTGACATGCATGTGTCGTAGGTTGTGCGAGTCAAGTTGGAGGAGTGGACTGCGCCGCTCGTAAACATTCGCAAGCCATTTGTCGCAGTTCTGTGGCTTCTGTATATTTCTGTCAATCCTTTCTGGCGCTAAGGCGGGAGAAGGAGGAGGATGATGAAGCGGACGCGATTGCCGTACTCCCTCTCATGTGTTGGGGTTGATCAGGACTGGTGTTGCATCTACGTCGCAGTTTTGGGTGGCAGGAAGTACGTGGCTTTCTGAAGTCGCTTGGCATCATCTGTCTCAAGGCTGTTGCTCACTTAACGGTGCTTTCAACCCTCCGAACTGCTCGGCAACTGGAGGATACCGCGCAAGAGGTCATAGAGCTGGGTGGGATGAGCGGTCGCACCTGTTCCCGCCCAGAGGCATCAACACGGTAATTCTGCGTAAGTTTTGGGGCTCTTTTCTGGATGCATACCTGCTCAGGAGCTCTTGCGGTGTCTATCCGCATACCGAGCCCTTGAAGGCTTCACGAAAGCGGACGCTTGACCGAACCGATCTGTTAGGGTTTGGGGTAAACGCACCGGTATAAGGAGTGGTACGTGCCAGTTTCAAGGGCCGTGAGTCGCTTGCGAAGGGAGTCAGGTTGAGCGTTTGACCGAGGTGGAGCCTTGGTACTATCAGAATTACATAAATCTACGAGAGAGTAGCTGCAACAGCTGAAGCCTTTCACGAGGAGATAGATCGGATCCATGCGATCTTCCTCACCTTGGAGGCAGCAGCCGGCATTGTATACGCTAGGCTCGCTAGGCATCGAGAGCTCGCCGATTGAAGATGCGTTCGTGTCAGTGACACTGTTGTGAGAATGCGGCCAGAGCGACAGGTCGAGGGCGCGGCATGCTTGCAATGAAGCAGAATCCATGAAAAGCCATGTGCGACATCAAGGATAATGCGCTTAAAGTTTTCCAGACAGCTTCGCGCTCGTCGAGTGTGGGTCGTCACGACAAGCATCCCCAACTGTCGAATTGCTACTTTGACCGTGTATGACCGGGTGAGCGCTGCCTGTCCCTTCAGGCAGAGCCGCAGCCGAAAACTGCAGCTGACATGCGATCAGAAAGGCTCCAACCTCAGCCCATGCCAGTTTTTAAGAGGCGTGAGTTCCAGTTACGCAGGCACATCAAAGCTTCACAGCTTTGCGACGGTCTTCTAAAGATCGCTGGGCTGTACTGTCCGCCACCTGGTCCCCTGATGTCTACCCTGCGCCCCTGCGCTGCGTCTTCGAAACCTTCGCTGTGAGCCCTTCAGGTGCCGATCACCTCCGGGAGCTCCTGGACAAGATGGAGGAGACGATTGAGGCCGCGTGGCCGCGTGGCCGCGCAAAACTCGCACATGGAGGGGCCAGCATGGCCAGCGCAATGCTGCCAGGGGGAAAAAATCACGCCTTTCCTCTTCTACGAGTGTGGCCCTCGGAGGGGCTCCATCGCCGCGATGTTGGCTCTTCGCTCGTGCGGCCTCCCCAGAGCCCTTGTGCGGAGCATTGCGGAGCTGAGGTTCCTGGTCTGTGCTCGGCGCCTCCGAGTGCGGCAGCCCAGGGGATTTCGGGGATCTCGGAGCAAGTATATCGGAAGCCGCGTTGTGCGGCTGCCCGCAGTTCACCGAGGACGCCATGCTGACCGCGGGCGCCGAGGAGTTCGACAATCTGGACGCCGATGAGGACGGCATCGTCGAAGCGAACGAGCTCCGCGAGCTCTGTGCCTGGGCTTGTGAATCTTCGGTCTTTTGGGTGCTTTGATGTGATGGTATGTGATGTGAATCTGTGTGAAACTTCGTGCGCAGGCAAACCCCTGGGCTTCACTCTCTCAGCAGCGGAGTGGGACGAGCTGGTCGAGGAGCTGAACCTGGGGGACGAGGATGTGGAGTTCCAGGATGCCTGGGACTTCCTCCAGTCCGTGCAGGCAAAGAACGGCTTCACCGCCTCGGAGCAGCAGGAGCTCATCGAAGCCTTCGGGCGCTTCTCCACGGTTTCAGGCAATGTATTGCTGCGATATGCTGTGATATGCCGTAGTGGGAGGGTGCGGGAGAAAGTATGCTGTGAGACATTGTGTGAGACATGCTTTTCTCTGG